ATATGGCAGAAGTGGTGGGACATCACTTTTTAAATGAGGTTATAGACTGTGGCTTTGATCAGAAGTGTTCTCCCTTTCCCTCTTCTCTAGATCTTTCTTGGATATCTCTCCCTGGGGGAAACCAGTCACCATGTTATTATGTAAGCCTGTGAGGTCCATGTAGCAAAGGACTGAAGCTTACCAATAATGACACAGGGAAGGAGATTTCTCTCTCCTGTTAATTCAGCATTTAGGTAGAAACACAAGCCCAACCAACATCTTGGCTGCGACCTCTTTGGAAACCTTGAGCCAGAGGTACCCAGTAGTGGCACTCCTGGTACTCATGCCCCTGTGAGAAAATAGACACTACTGCTGTATGCTGCTAAGGTTTTGCTGAGTGTTTTATGCAGCTATGGGGAAGACATAAACAACTTTAATCTAGTAATAAACATGAATATCAGTAATGAAACAAATCAAAACCATGGTTCACCAGACAGGCTACAATGAGAGGAACACAGAATTGCTTCTTTTGTATTCCCATCAAAGATGCATATCCTTAATTCATGCATGAGGAAACGTCATACAAACTCAAAATGAGAGGAATGTTCTTAAAAAATAAACTCCCAGAAATGTTCAAAAGTGTTAGGAAAGTGTTAGTGAAAGAAAAGGGTAAGGAACTGTTTCAGATTGAAGAAAACAAGAGACTTGACATTGTAATCCAATGTGTGATTCTGAACTTGAACTTTTGTTGTATAAGACATTATTGAAGCAAGTGATGAAGCTAGAATGGAGTCTAGAGATAAGATTATAATAATGCATTAATGCTAATTTCATGGTTTTGAAGATTGTGTTTTGGTTATACAAACAGAATGTTTTTGTGTGTAGAAAATAGTCAGCATTCTGTCCCCAATCTCCTGAAGAAAACTCTGCTTGTGGGGCATAGGTTGAAACTGATGACAGTTCACTTGTTTCCACCATGCTATTTCACCTGCTTTCTGTTATCATGGCTGGCTCATGGGATAAGAGAATATATCTACTTTATTATTTCTTGGTTTTTCTGTGGAAACTCTGTGAAAATAAGGAAATGTGGAGATTTATATATGTTTCTAAATTACAATAACAAGTTAATAAATTAATATAAAGTATAGTCACAGTCTGGACTATTTCTTTCCTGGAGTTAAACTATTTAAATATGGCCATGTAGAAAATATTCTCTTGTTGATAATCTCTAAAAAAACTCTATCAAAATTTCATCTTAGCATTTCTCTCCAAAATTCATATAAAACAAAATACAGTTCAGGAAAACAAGACCAAAGGGTTACCTGTTAACTGTATTTATTAAGCCTGTGGCTTAATTTCTTTTATGTGTATCTTGTTTTATTTAAACTTCTACTAGACTTTTCTTTAAGATAGTGGATAGGAGATACCTATTCCTCAGATTTTATTTTAAGCAGACACCTGCATCCTCAAATTATGTAATATAATATAATTAATATGATATAAGTATTCCAAATTCTTAACCAGGTCATCAGAGATTGAAAGCTAAACTTAAGTTTCCCAAAGTCTTAGCAGCTACCAGTACCAGAAAAACAATGTAAGTGATTGTGATCAACTTTGTTCTAAAGAGCCTAGGAGTCTTTCCTACTTTCTTATACATAGGAGTTAAGCTTTCACATTAAAAAAAAAATAAAAACAGTAAACAATATTATTAGAGGTTATTGTAATGGTTAAACAAAATAGGAAATGCAAATCTCCAGTTAGATTGTCAGGCACCAGGCTACTGCTTAGGAAATGGTAACTTCTTACTACATAAATCATGATTCGTAGTTGACATCAACTACAACCTAGTTATAAATAGTCCAACCAGCTGCCTCAAGATGCCTTAGCTCAGGCAGAGGACGGTAATACAAATGTGAATATGAATTTAAACACTCTAAACCTGTCAGCACTCTAGGAGAAGTAACTTACACTACATATTCTACTGATGCATAATCATCAGATATTAAAGAAGGTACATTACTATATTTCATTGTTACTCTAGTGATCTTAAAGAATTAAGACCACATTCATAAAATCCAAATTTGTCTCCAAGGAGTAGCTTTGAGTTGGGGAATATCTGGATCATTAAGTAATTTCCATAGGTCAGAGGAAAAGTACTTTATCTCTGAATATTACTTTCATGGCATATTGGCTGTAGCAGAAGTTAGTAACAGAGTGACCTTTCTCTGAAACAATTCGTAGAGTCACTAGAATTTTCTTCAATTTTAGGGAATTATGTATATATTCAAATTATATATATATTCCATAGTGTTATAGCTTGAAATCTTGACCCTCACCACAATTGTCTCTTGGTACACTTATGTTCTCTGTAATTTTCACTTTAGTTAATTTTCTTTGCAGGTTTATGTGTTCCTCATAGTTCCACATGTATAATCCATTATTGTTAAATTGACATTTGCATAATACACATTGCTTCAATTTTCCAATATTTATTCATCTTCTATTTTGTACTACAAATAACTTATTTCACTACATGTATTTTTAAATTGCTCAATTCCTCACTTTTATTTAAAATAAAATAGTAATATTTTCACTTATTAGGAAAGAAAAGTTATTTACTAGAGAATACCTCAAATGTGGATGTCTGCAACCAACAGTGAGATTTGTTGCAACAATAGCTATATTGTCAATACACCATACAAAGTTCCATCTGGTCTTGATTAAAGATTATTTTAATATTAAAAGGAAAATTATACAAAACTAGGACTGCCTAGATTGCATGGGATAAAAGAAATAGAGAAAATAATAATCTTTTAGACTGTTAGAACAGTGAACCATATCCATCTGGTAAGAAGAGTATACTTAAGAATGGAGTTCAAGATCTCTAGGAACATAAATATAAGTTCTGGATGCATAGTTGGTTAAGTTTAGGTTGGTCATGTAAAAGCAGAGAGAGCAGATACCACAAGACTAACTGGATCTTTTGTATTTTTTGGGTTCATGTGCATACATGGGATTTTTGAGAATGATAAAAGCAATGCATGATAGGTACTTAATTTTTAACATTTAATTCATAGTGTTTTATCTCTTTGTATCTATTTGAAAAGTGAATATTATGTAAATGCAGTCCAAGAATATCTGAACTCATACCATGTGATATAGTTTCACATTCAAAAGAAATATTTTTTTCATTATTAAAAATAAGAAAAAAGGTGGAGAGAAGGTGGTGCATTGAAAATCAATTTAAGTATTTACTGGAGTCTCTTAAGTAACCAATGGTAAATTTCAGTGTTTTGCATATGGCAAAACATTTTAAAGAACCTATTTTTTCACAGATCTTTCCAATATTTTATGACAGCATAATAAATTATGTTCTGCCCTAATACCTCAAAAACAGGAACTACTTAGTTTTCCCACTTACCTATCTTCTGATTTCCCAGATATATTTTTCTCTTCAGATACTACTTGCAAACCTCTATACAAGGGCTTTGACAATATAGCCCTACTCTTTCTTTTAATCAGCACAACAAAAGACCTAATTGTTTATCTAATAAAATAGAATTTTCTAATACTGTAGAAACATATGTGTATTTGCTTTAAAAATGCTATTTTGGTAGTAAAGAGTCACTGAGGTCATAAATTCATGTCAATATTTCCAATTTACATGAAGTATGCACTCAGTTGAACTAGTTATCTACTAAATAGCATGTCTTCTTAAAAGCCTTACTTTTTCTCAGAATGCTACCTTTTTTTTCCCCCGTAAAGGTACAATTTTAAAATAGCCTCCACCATTTTCAAAGACTACTTTCTAAGGAGACATGCTTCTTCTCAATTGTATTTCTAAATCTCTAGCAATTATAACACTATATAAAAGAGGCAAGTCAAAAATTGTAGGAAAAACTTAATAACAGATTTGCAGCCCTGGGTGTGCACATTAAAATTTGAAATCTAAGTGAACTACTTTGAGCTGATTTCTTAGTTCAAGGAGAGAACATGGTCTTTAAATGCCTGATAAGGTCACACACACAATTTCAAGTGCATTTGTAGTAAATCCATGTGACAACTTCTACAGCCACTAACCTGCTTCTGCCCTCAGGGTAGCACGCACAGTGTTCATCGCATGTCCTGGATGGTTGTAGGGGCAGCGGAAGCCCTCTGAGACATGTCAGACTTAGGAAATACCAGCAATGGCTCACACAGAGAGTTTCAAGTCTTAACCCATACGTAATGAGTAGCTTTATCTTTTAAATGTGATAAAAAAAAAAACCCAGAAGTCACTTTGAAATAAATTGAGAGATTAGCAATGGTGACTGAGGAATAAAAATTATAATTTAAAATTATCATTAAAGCTGGAATCTTTAACTTACTGACCTTGTATAGCACATATTATAGGACTTTGGAAATTTAGGTTCATATTGAAATGCAAATTTATGTCAAATTTAAATTTTAAAAATGACGATGCTACTATGGTCTAATTGCAAACTTATTTTAATAATGACTTCACAATATTATTTGCTCTTTGGTTTGTTGGCATGGCAACTATGGGTTAATTATACCCACAAAGGAAACAGTATCACCCTTGCAATGCATCCTTTTCTGGACCACTTCTAGGTCAAATGCATGTAGGCTTTAGATATTAATAATTTACTTTGAGCTAAAAATTACTATCTGGTATTAGTGATGTGTGGTAGTTATTTCCAGCAATATATAGGTATCTATAATTGTGATGACAGTCAATTTCAATACAAAATGAATTTTGCACTTAATGTGCAAATGGATTCTATGGGTTCAGTTAAATGCACAGGTTGGAAAATTATAAATAATGTTATATATTCTTGTGATTATCTTCATAATGCAATGGAAAGAAAAACAAGAAAAAAGAATAAATGAAAATAATTGTTTCCACTACAGTTGAAGAATAATCTTTCAGGTTACAAGTAAGATGTTTATATCAATCTATAAAAAAGTAAACATTGAAGAGGTCTTATAGAATCTGACAAAATATTGTTTTGCCTACTCACCCACAGGAGACATTTCTGGGACACTAGCAACATAAGGTCCATCCAAAAACTTTGGCTCATTGTCATTAATATCCTGCACTTTGATGATGAATTCTGATTCAGGCTCCAGGGGCTTCCTGGTTTCTATGTCCACAGCCTGAGCACGAAGAGTGTAGAAAGGTTTTTCTTCTCTATCCAGGCTCTTTATTGCATGAATGTCCCCTGTGGTTTCATCAATAGTAAAAACGGTACCAGCTCCATCTCCTGAGAGGGTGTATTTAACAGTGCCCTCTCCCTTGTCTAGGTCGGAGTGGAGCTTTGGTGGAGCAGAGAGAAGAGAGAGAGAGAAAGAGAGAGAGAAAAAACTATTAAAGGGATGTTACTATATTAAAAAATCATACTTTGCAATATAATTTATTTAGTCAGAAATGTTAAATGAAAGCTTATAGTTCTTTTTTGTTTTTTAGTCCTCCAACTTTCTGATTATAAAAATTTTAACACCCAGAAAAGCTGAAAAAATGCAGTGAACACTGTATATACCTATATATACCAGGCATTCCACCATTTACCTTTTAATTGACTTGCCTTATCACATAGATAAATCACATATCCATTCTTTCATCCATCCCTTTCTCATTCCATCCTATTTTGATGCATTTTGGAGATCAGAACAAAAGTACTACCCAAATACATCAACAGGTATAATTATAACTAATATTAAACATTTGTATCTAGTTCTTTGTATCCCTTTGGGAATAAAATTTTCATAAAGTGAAATGCACACATCTTTACTGTACATCTTCCTTTATTTTAAATGATCATCACGAGAAAAATAAATTAGCTCATAAATACCAAAAAAACAAAACAAACCAAAACCCTCCAAATGTCCTGAAAATAGAAATCAATGAGCTAATTCTAGTGTAAGATAAAAGTAAAGAAACTCAGAAACAGCGAGCTTTTTTCATTTGAAAAGGAAAGAGTGATGTGGTACACCAAGAAGTTTTCATTCATGTATGGTAGAGCATCTCAATTTAACAGACTGAATGAGTTAGCCAAGATTAACCAGATGATTGGTATAAGCACTGATTATTCTTTCATATTCACAGGCAAATTAATAGTTCTAATTAATTCTATATGTGGAATATTTTTACTATGTAGAAATATAAAATTCGGTTGATTTTTTTGAAATTTAACACATGTATAGTACGCCATGTTATAGCAGGAACAAGATACACATCAATAACGATAAGGGAAGTAGCCAGGAAAGCAAAATTGTGATACTCTAAGTTAGAGTTGCTGAAATTGGAGTCCAAGAATAAATGGAAGATGAACAGAGTCTTAGAGACTTATAAATTATTTCTGAATAAATAAATATGTACATAAAATATGTTATATATAAGTATCAAAGAATATACATTTTTATCAATATGTATTCTAAGTAATTTAAAGTATATTTGTAAATATATGCATATTAATATGCATTCTTAATAATGTGATATACAGTACTTTTTATTCAGAGTCTAATCTAAATGTTTTAAACTATCCCTGCTCATTTTGGTACAGTCATTGGATTTCAGCATCCAAGATTTTTATTTAAAATCTCATTCCAGTCAACGGATCAACCAAAACAAAAATGTTGATAATTTACAGTGACTATAACTATTTGAGTTATGACTTAAAATTTGAATATAAGCACTGCTCTCTTTCAAAAAAATTGGGAAAGAATGAGTTCTGTTTTTCTTAATGTTTCAATACAAAAGAAATTTTGAAAATATTTTAAATTATATAAATATTCTTTTGCAAATAAGAGTTCTCTGTGTTAGTATTAATAATATCAAAGCACAAATATAGCCAGATTAAGTAGAGGCTGAACATCGTTGTTCTTAAACACAACATTCTGGTTTACGTTCAGTAAAATAACATCATTGTTCAAAGTAATGTTTTTAAAATAAATGTATTCATTTTGTGAAATTGTACTTACTCCAAAATTTACTCTGAAAGTGTATTTGTATAAGACTAAAAGCATAAGGATTTATACCTGGTTAAGTCGCATAATGAAAGAAACATGGCAACATTAAGAAGGCACGGCATTTTTATTTTCCTTTAAAAGTTTCTGTATATTTTACTTAAGTATAAGAAAAATTGCTATGAATGATAGGAAGAAGTATTTTTTTCTCCTAATTTTTTTACAAAGTACTGTGAAGCTCAGGAAGTTTCAAGCGTAAAATCAAATTGTAGATAAATGTTCTTTGAACTTAGGAATTTCAAATTACAAATTTCAACCATACTATTAAAGATATTCAACACAGTGGGTATTGCTTTTGCTTTCTAATTTATCTAAATATATATGTCAGGAAAAAGCTCAGTATAAAAGAAATGACTTCATAAACTGGATCCATTTTGCCAACAGCTCAAAGGATATATGGTAATATTGTGGAAGCTAAGTGAAATTTCCAAGTAAATTTTCACTATGTGATCCAAGTAGATTACAAGATAAACAAACAGAAAACACAAGAAAGCCCTCCATTTAGCTAAAATCAGAACTGTTTTCTTTGTAAACTGACATAAAAATAAATTAAATTCAGTTGTTGCTACTCCTCATTCTTCTACATTTTTCTACTAATTTAAAGATGAGTTTTGCAGAGATTAAAGCTTCAGAAGAAATATGTGAAAATAGGTTAAAATTTTGAACTGAAAATGAAGTTGATGAATGTAAAATGCTTGAAGGATTAGACATTTTAAGGGAATTTATCACATGATAATACCTTAAAGGAGACTACAGTCAATATTCCGCATTCACAGGAAATGTATAAAATTAGTTATTCAGTGCCAATTGATTCAGACCGATTCAGGTGACTAGCATAAAGGATAGATGTTATTTCAATATCAATATGATGTTAAATAATAGCATGATGTTGGATATTATAATTTTTTATTTCAAATATAAAATAATTTCAATAGAAAATAAGATAAGTAAAATGAAAATCCTCATCATCTTTTAACCTAGAGATAACTTCTTTTATTATTTTTATGCATTTCAGTTATATAGATATAAAAATGTATATAATTGTAAGGGTAAATACATACATAAATATGTATTTATTATGCATATATGTTTATATATAATTATCTGATTTTTATATATATCTATACACATACAATATATGAAACTGAGCTGGGGATGGGTATATTCATACCTAATGGGTGCAATGCACACCATCTGGGGGATGGACATGCTTGAAGCTCTGACTCTATGGGCAAAGGCAATATATGTAAACATTTGTACCTCTGTAATATGCTGAAATAAAAAATTTAAAAATTAAAATTTAATTTAAAAAGGAGTTAAAAAGAAACAGAGTTGGCTTTTTTCAATAACAAAATATCATAATCAGTTTTCAGTATCATTTGAAATTATTAAAATTTTTTTTTTTTTTTTTAGATAAAATCTCACTCTCTTGCCCAGGCTAGAGTGCCGTGGCATCAGCCCAGCTCACAGCAATCTCAAACTCCTGGGCTCAAGCGATCCTCCTGCCTCAGCCTTCGGGTAGCTGGGACTAGAGGCATGTGCCACCATGCCTGGCTAATTTTTTCTATATATTTTTAGTTGGCCAATTAATTTCTTTCTATTTTTGATAGAGATGAGGTCTCACTCTTGCTCAGGCAGGTCTCGCACTCCTGAGCTCAAGCAATTCTCCTGCCTCAGCCTCCCAGAGTGCTAGGATTATAGGCGTGAGCCACCACGCCTAGCCCAAACTATTTTTAAAGTATCTGCATTGTATTCATCCAATGAAGCTGAATGATCCAGCGAGCAACTCCTATCCTTTCATAAACAATGTGGCGAATGTGGTGTGTGTGTGTATGCATATGTATGTTTTTGTGTCTTTTTCTCTACTTTCTTAAAATAAAAAGGAAACTATCAAGACAAATAATATGGTAATTTTTTATGAATCTTGAACAATGTCAAATCTTGAATGATTCCAAAATGTTAACTCTATAGATGAAATTGCTTTCTCAAATCTTTCAGCAGTGGAATTTGGTTTAGCATACTGGGAAGCCAGTTCTTAGTTTTATTTGCGTAAAAAAGGAAGGAAGGCTACAGAAGAATTCATATGCTTTGTCTCATCTTGGGGTTGTGTTAATCCTAAAAAAATCACATGATGCCATTTTACACAATCATTTTAAGCTACACACACAGCTTGCTAGCTACTGATTCTGCAAAAATAAATTTACTTTTCTTTATAGAAATTTGAAAATAAGAGCTAGAAATATTTCTTATTCTAATTATTAGAAATAAGCTGTTTCTGAGTAGGTGCCAACTACATTTACTGATTGACGCTGCTAACTCCAATAATATCATCTTTTGGTATCAACACTTAAATAAAATTTCTCCCAGAAACAGAGTTCTATTACATAAATGATAAACGTAGAAGTAGACACTGTCCAGGTAGTTTTGTGGAAATGGTGTTGTTATATTCTGATGTTTTCTAAATCATCTCAGATGGTGCATGAAAATGAGATGCCAAGAGAGGCTTAAAAAGATACTGAGGACTAGCTTCAGAGCGTAAGCAAATCTTGAATTCCAGTGTTTAAAAGTTTTGAGAAAGCTAACTGAAAGTTAAATGTTTACTAGAATCTCTCTGATTATATTTCAGAAACTGCTGCACAAAAAAGAAATTTATTCTTATTTTCTCTGGGTTGAAAAGTGCATGTAACATGGAAAATGTTTTTTATATCACTATAATTTCATTTTCATTTGCCATTTGCCAGGATAGGGGGTGTTTACTAGGAATGGATACAGCATGGGGTGTGTTGGGAAGATAAACTGCTGATTTTGAAAAGGTACTTTTTGTATGAAAACCAAAAATTATGTTTAACAAATACTATTACTAATCTCTATGTGGATATGTCTGTTTCCACATGAGTCCAATATATACATACACTATATAGATGCCATCAACTTATTGGTTTGCTGCTAAATGTAACCATTTAACATAAAATATGCCTCTTTATGTAGTCTCCTAATTCTAAGAATTAGGCATATTTCCTAGAGGGGAATGGAGAATAAGCAAAGCACCCTGGACAGTTACCACGTTTGGTTTTTATGAGGCAATCAGGATGGTTGTTATGAGAAGGTTACAAAATGAAAAGTTATTACAAATCATTTTTCAAGGAATTTTGCAAAAAATGATTTTAATGTATTTTTGCATATAAAATATTTAAAACCATAGTTTATTTCTCCTTTAAATGGATGCTGATTTATAAATTGTTCTTTGTGTTCCAAATTTTTAATTTATTCCTATCTTTACTTTCAGAACC